GGGATATTTTGAATAAGAAATTACTCATTGATTTGCCGGACATGAGGATGAGGTGCGATCTTAAGACCTATTCACTCATTGAACTCATTGTGGGCTTCGGATGGCGACTCCAGTGAAGAGAAAACATTACTTTAGCTTACTTTGGGTCGTCTGAAGGGATGTCCAGCGACTATTGTGTGGATTAGTTGTTGGTTGAGGTTTATGGTTGTGGTCGTCAACTGTTGATAGCATTGTTGGAACCGTTTGGGTGATAGCTGTGAAGGACAACTGTATAGCGATTTTTGAATCTAATTCAGGATAAACCGCATAAACCTAAAGAGAATTTGCAATCATTTCGAAACTTTGTTCAAAAAAATTCAAAACTTGTTGGTTTCAAAACACAATCTTTTATTTAATGTATAAAATAAACCCATTTATAATGTTTTGTAAGCATTGTTTTTGCCGTTAATTCAATTATTTATTGTTAGAGATTAACAAATCCAGTCATCAGACATGAAATGAATGCAAACTTTTTAAATAATAATTATCAGTAATTCACACAAAAGTGATTATCTTATGATGTGCTCTAGAAGTAGCATAAGAATTGTTGTCCACATAATGGGCTTACATTAAAATCAACCAAAACTTGAAGCACAAAATATTTTCTTAAAAACTTTATTTTAGATCAAAAGTTGTGTATAAACTATTCATTTATCTAAAGTTCTACAAAAAAAGTTGCATAAACTTATAAAAACAAATTGATATAAATTTTAAAATAAAGTTATTGTTAATAAAATATGATACTAGAAATAATTGATTAGTTATGATAAAATTTAGTCCAAACGTCAAACTATGAGCAAATTTAGTCATTAATGAGTCTCTTAAGCCTATCAATAATGCGGTCGGACTGGTGAGCGCCCATCCAATCGATCCTTCCGGCCTCCCATTCCCTTTTGCTCCGGTCGTCTAAATTGTCAAAATCAAATCATAAAGAAAATGCTTATGTAATCTTATCATGCACTTGTACCTTGTTGCTGTTGTGTGAGTTGTTCGTGGGGTGCCGTCTGAACATGAGATTCAGGATCAGTGTTAGTGATCGTGTCATTTGTTTGCTCTTCAACTCGATTCTGTTGATCTTTAACTTCAGAATCGGCTTCTTTTGGCTCAATATCCTCGGAATCCTTTAACGATATGCCAGACATTATGTCCAAAGATATGTCGTCATCTGAAACGGCAATTATATAAGAAATATATAATGGCTTTCATAGAGGAAAGGGTGATACCATCGAAATTGAAAGCATCGTATTTGGCAATGGCTTCGGCAGGAGATTTGATTCTTCGGAAAGTGATCGGTGTTTGTGTGAACATGTGATCATCTGTTTCTATACCCGATTCTTTACTCAGAAGTTGAATCAAATCAAAAATAGACCATGCTCTACGTCCCGGTCCATACTTTGTGATCAATAGTGGCGTCAAATGCTATTTATTTGTATATAAAATTTCTAATTAATTAATTGGTGTTTAAAATGAGTGCATTTGCGTCACGTTTTGTATAATAGGCCACAAGCGTTGGACAAAGCAATTGAGATAAAACTTGGCGTAATTGTCAATCGCCATCGATTTGATCACTTCTTGCTGACTACTGGCCAATAAATCAAACACTATATGCCAGGGATGTACTAAAGATGCCACAAGCGTTGGACAAAGCAATTGAGATAAAACTTGGAGTAATTGTCAATCGCCATCGATTTGATCACTTCTTGCTGACTACTGGCCAATAAATCAAACACTATATGCCAGGGATGTACTAAAGAGGTCCCGGACTGTGAGCCTAACCCTCCCGATTGGCTCAGCATATGTCCGAAGTTGACAATTCTGATGGAATCCCCGTACCTATCAATTCATGAGATCTTGAAACATATTTTGTAAGTAGAAATAAGCAGCGAAAATACTTCATAAACGCCGGAATTTGCGTATAAATGGCATCGTTTTTGACGAAATTATAAATAAAAGAAATTCGTTTCCATTTCGGGGCAAAGAATTGGTTGAGAAGAGTCATCTCATCCAATGTCTCGGCCATCCCCTCATCCTTCTGTTCAGAGCACTTCTGGTGAAACACTAATTTATATGATATATACTATATTATAGCATCATTTCAAATCAATCAAATGCTTTTCTAATTACATGCAAAGCTGAGTATTTGTTCATAAGTTGTAAGACTCGGCTCGAAGACAAATACTGAACAATTGAAAGTATCGGGAAATATCCAGTCGACACATGCGGACAACTCTTCGCACTCTGCCACAAGCGTTGGACAAAGCAATTGAGATAAAACTTGGCGTAATTGTCAATCGCCATCGATTTGATCACTTCTTGCTGACTACTGGCCAATAAATCAAACACTATATGCCAGGGATGTACTAAAGAAGTGCCGGACTGTGAGCCTAACCCTCCCGATTGGCTCAGCATATGTCCGAAGTTGACAATTCTGATGGAATCCCCGTACCTATCAATTCATGATATCTTTAAACATATTTTGTGAGTAGAAATAAACAGCGAAAATACTTCATAAACGCCGGAATCTGTGTATAAATGGCATCGTTTTTGACGAAATTATAAATAAAAGAAATTCGTTTCCATTTCGGGGCGAAGAATTGGTTGAGAAGAGTCATCTCATCCAATGTCTCGGCCATCCCCTCATCCTTCTGTTCAGAGCACTTCTGGTGAAACACTAATTTATATGATATATACTATATTATAGCAGAATTTCAAATCACTAAAATGTTTTTCTAATTACATGCAAAGCTGAGTATTTGTTCATAAGTTGTAAGACTCGGCTCGAAGACAAATACTGAACAATTGAAAGTATCGGGAAATATCCAGTCGACACATGCGGACAACTCTTCGCACTCGTCAAACAAATTTGTTACGCTTCCGATCACCTGTTTTTTAGATTAGATATTCACAATCATTAGTCCGAAGGTTTGTACTGTACTTTCACTAGAAATCAAACAATACCAAAGTGGATGACTCTAAATATAAGCACTTTTCGTAATTCTCTAATTCTTTCCATAACTGGAGTTTGTATTGTTTTATTCCAAACGATTGATCACTCAATAGAGCAACTCTTACATCCATTGGTTGAGATATCACCTAAATATACAGTATGTTATAAATAAGAAAAATAATTCAACTTAGGAAGCAACATTGTTATACAAGTTTACAATAAATCTTTAAAATGTTTTCGTTAGTATAGTCTTTTTGGTTAAAAATTAAATATTAAAAAATTTCTTAACTTCTAAAATAAATATTATAGCAATGGGAGTGAACAAATACAGTACCTCATCAAAGATCATATAAATGGCATCCTTTAAGATGGGATCAATGCTACCACCGATTAGAATAACAAATGGTATTTGAATCAAAACTTTGTCACCATTTGTATCGGTAATATTCATAGACTTATTATTAGTAATAACTAGAGAATTGGCCAAAATTATAGCATTGGTTGCGCTTAAGTTGTTGTAAGCGATTGTAACGAAAGCGTACGGAGACGAGACATCTTCGGTCCACGAGTTTTCGTTGCCGTCATTCCTATCAGTCATCACATTCTGTGATAAGTTCTGTTCCCTTGTATTGTCCGACGAGTGATACTCTTTCCTCTCAAAATTATACGCTTCCGGACCTCTATTACCATGAGATGTGTTACTATTTGTCGACTCCATTAGTCCCCTTATTCTTCCACTTCTATCATCTCTCGACTCTTCGGATCTCTGAGTTTCATTGGTTTGATTGCCTTCAAAGACATTATGCTGTTGTCTAGAGTTTCCAATCGATTCACTCGTTCGTGAAGT